ATTTAAATTAATAAAAAAATTATTTTTATAATTTTAATATCCAAAAATGTATTTATTTTATTTTTTTATGTACATATTTTATAAAATAATTAACATATATATTAACTAAATGTACATGCATTATAATTTTGAATTAAGATTATTGAATATTACGAAAATAAAAATAATTTTCATTATTTTATTAATATATTATAATTTTTTTACTAATTATTTTTAACATTGTACCAATTAATAAATTTTTTTTGTTACTTTCGAAAATTTTAGGACAAATATTTGGGCTGTCTTCGATAACTTAGATGAGAAAGGAAGAATGAAAAAAAAAAAAAGACCCGAGAATAAAAGAAGTCACGGGTCATTGCTTTTGTCGGCCACTATGGAATTTATTAAGGAAATAACAATATTAAAAGAAAAAGAAGAAGACTTAGATGAAAATAAGTCTTCTTTTCTCTGCATTTTACATAATAATCATAAAACCAATCGTTTGGTCATTAAACCAAAAAAAAAAAAAAGCAAAAACCCATTTCTGCTATTAGAAGCTGAGTGTTCTATTAATCTTTTTTATTCGAATTTTTCAATTAAATAAGTGAACGTTCTCTTTTCAATTTCTAAGCTTTTTTTATCATTTCATTGCGAGCTTGATTTCTTTTGTTTTTTGGTCTAAGAGTTTTAAGGTTAATTTTTATTTTGCTTTTCCTTCAACTCAAAAAAACAAATTTGATTTTAAATTTGATTTAAATTTAATCAAATTTCAATTTTTAAATTTGAGTTCGATTTAAAAAAAATAAAAATATTCGAACTCTTTCAATTAATTTTATCTAATAAAAAATAAATTTAAATTTTATATTTAATGTTAAACTTGATTATGTATTTAAATTTTAACTCAAATTAATATAAATATAAAGATAAAATAATAATTTTTAATTAAAATAATAAAAAATATTAAAAATATAAAAATGAGATTAAATTAATTAATTATTTAAATCAAATAGTAAAATATATAAACTCATTAAACTACTTAAACTCAAATAAATAATTATTAAATTATAAAATTTTATTCGAATCAAATTAAAATATCTTACAAACATTATCCATCATTTACATCTAAATTTGATATATATGTAGAATGAGAAACACGTGATAAAGGAGTAATCAATTTTAAAGCTAACCGTTAGAATCAAATTATTTTATAACCTTTGGATACTCTTGATCCAATGGTTATCGTCTCATTATAAATTTATTAGATTTAACAAATCTGTAACTTGTTAATACTCTATTCTCAAGTAATTAAATAAAATAGTTCACTCTCGTAGCTCCTTGCAAGAATTTAATACTTGTTAAGAACATTACTTACCTTTTATTATTTGCTTTTTTCATATTATTATTTTCTCTTTTTTTTTTCTTTTGCAATGATGGATATAGATAAAAAAAAAGTTCACAGTATATTACAGAGAAAAATAATATATAAGATTAATAATACATAAATGTTTACAATGAAATTTTAATTCAAATACTAAGATTAATTGTAAAATTTTGATATTCATGAGTAACTACATTATCATGGTATAGTCGTCTGCAACAAGTAAGCCTATAATTAATGTAAAAAATAATCAACAAATTAGAAACCTATCATGAATATCTTTAGGTTAGTATTGTTTCCATTAATTTGTAGACCAGTAGATATAGAAGCTCCATTTTTTATTATTGTTTGTCTTGACCATTATTGGATATCATACTTTATTTCCTTCTTTTACAATTTATTACTAGAGTTAATTAAGACAAAGATGATGGGTAAAGTATTTTTTTTTACATATAAAAAATATTAATCAAGTATCAGGAAATTTAATCATACAATGTGAACAAATAATGAAATTTGCCGACGTTGCCTTCATAAAAGGCTTAATGAATAGCCAAGCTTGCCTTAGATAAAAGCTTACCCATTTTAATGGTATTATTATTGTGTGTTAGTTTCATAATAACTTAATATATAATTTTCAAGCATATGTAAAATAAGATTATACTTTTATTATATTTTTAAGCTGTTTGTATCATGTCTTTTTAAAATGTCTCAATTCTTCAATCGAAGTGCATTAGTAATTTAAAATTTTTTATCTTAAATTAATTTTTTTTATGTGAAGAATCATGGTAATTAATCTAATTAGTAATTAGTGAACATTGGCTGAAGTAATAGAAAATTACTTTGGATTGGTTGTGAATTTCGTTTATTAAAAATAAAGAGAATGAAGCAATAGCTCTATATTATTATTTGATATTACAATAAAAATAATTAATGAAAAGAAATATTATATTTAATTAATAAAAATCCAAAAAAATACTTATTTATTTTTATGTACATATTATAATTTTAAATTAAGATCATTGAACATTACGATTACAAAAATAATTTTTATTTATTAATATATTATAACTTTACTAATGAATAAATATTCCATAGATTTGAAACGACCAATAAAAAAAAGAAGACCTTAGATAAGAAAAGAAGAATAAAAAATAAGACCCTAGAAGAAAAGAAGTGATGGGTCACGGCATTTGTCGGCCACTATGGCATTTAATAAGGAAAGTATTAAAAGAAAAAGAAGAAGATTCGGAAGAAAATAAGTCTTCCTTTCTCTACATTTTACGTAGTAATCTTAAAACAAATCTTTTGGCCATAAAACCTAAAAAAGAAAAAGAAGGCAAAAACCAATTTTTGCTACCAGAAGCGGTGTTCTGTTAATCTCTTTTTGTTTGAATTTTCCAGGCAAGTAAGTGAACATTCTCTTTTCAATTTCCAAGCCTTTTGATCATTTCAGTGCTAGCTTTCCTTTTTTTTTTTCAATTAGTTTTAAGGTTGATTTCTACTTTATTTTTCCTTCAATTCAAAAAGAGAAATTTATTCTTGTATTTAACTCGAATTTGATCAAAATTTAATTTTTAAGCTTAAATTTAATTCAAGATAAAAATTAAAATATTCAAACTTTTTTTATTAAATTTGTTTAATAAAAAATAAATTTAATTTTCATAACTTCATTTTAAATTTATTTATATGTTTAACTTTGAACTTGAATTGATATATAAATATAAAGATAAAATAATAATTTTTAATTAAAATAATAAAAATATAAAAATATAAAAATTTGATTAAATTAATTTATAAATTATTATTAAAATGTTTAAATTTGTTAAATTATTCAAACTTGAATTAAATTTAAATTTTATTTAATTTGAATTAAAAAATATTGTAAAAATTAATTTATTATTTATATTTCTAGAATTGACGTATATCTATAATAAAAAAGACATGAAAATGGAGTAATAAATTTTAAAGTGAACCGCTAGAATTGGATTATTTTATGGCCTTTGTACTACTCTTAATCCAACAATCATCACTTCACTATAAATGATTTAGTAAGTGTACAAGTTGTCAATACTTAGTTCTCCAAGTAATTAAGCAAAGCAGTTTATCTCTACAGCTCATCGTAAGAATTGAATATTTGTCAAGCTCATCACTTACTTTTCATTATTTATTTAGTTTTTCTTCCGCACTTATGGATACAGATAAAACAACATATAATATATTAAAAAGAAAAATAATATATAAGATTAATAACAAATAATGTTTATAATGAAATTTTATTTCAAATACTATAATTAATTAAAAAGTTTTGATGTCCATGACTAATTACATAGGCATGATATAATTATCTGCTACAAGCAAGCCTGTAATTAACGTAGAAAATAACCAACAAATTAAAAATCTGTCATCAATATCTTTAGGTTAACATTTATATTTAAATGAATAAAAAAATTAAATTTATTTTTATAATATTAATATCCAAAAATGTAATTTTTTATTTTATTTTTGGATGTATATTTTTATAAAATAATTATACATATATATAAACTAAATATACATATATTATAATTTTGGATAAGATCAATGAACATTACGATTTTATAAAATAATTTTCAATTTTATTATTAATATATTATATTTTTTTCACTAATATTTTTAGTATGGTACGAATTAATAAATATTGTGTTACTCTCGGAAATTTCCCCAATAAAGGACGATATTTGCGCGTCTTCCATGACTTAGATAAGAAAGGAAGAATAAAACAAGAAGAGGCCCGACAATGAAAAGAATGATTAATGCTTGTCTAATCTTTCTCACAATACAATTTTAATGAAATAACTATATTAAAAGAAAAAGAAGACTTTGCATGAAAATAAGTTCCTTTTCTCTACATTTTACATACTAATCTCGAAACAAATCCTTTGCCCATAAAACCTTAAAAAAAAAACAAAAAAGCAAAAAGCCATTTCTGCTATCAGAAGTTGATTGTTCTGTTAATTTCTTTTGTTCGAATTTTCCGGGTAGATAAGTGAACGTTCTCGTTTCAATTTCCAAGCTTTTTGATCATTTCAGTGCCATCTTGATTTCTTTTTTCTTTTGGCGCAGAGTTTTAAGGTTGATTTCTACTCTGTTGGCTTTTCCCTCAACTCAAAAAGAGAAAAAAAAAAAAAAGAAGAAAAAAATTTTGTTTGATTCTACATTTCTTTCCTTGTAACTTCAAAAAAAAAAAAAAGGAGCTACTCTTCAATATTTTCTTCCTCTTTAGTTTCCACTTTGTTTGTCATTTTCATCAAAAAAAATACAAAAAAAAAAAAAAAGCAAAAGCCCATTTCTGCTATCAGAAGTTGATTGTTCTGTTAATTTCTTTTGTTCGAATTTTCCAGGTAGATTAGTGAACGTTCTCTTTTCAATTTCCAAGCTTTTTGATAATTTCAATGCCATCTTGATTTCTTTTTTCTTTTGGCCTAGAGTTTTAAGGTTGATTTCTACTCTGTTGGCTTTTCCTTCAACTCAAAGAAAAAAAAAAAAAAACTTAAGTTGAATTTTGTTTGATTCTACATTTCTTTCCTTGTAACTTAAAAAAAAAAAAAAAAGAGCTACTCTTCAATATTTTCTTTCTCTTTAGTTTCCACTTTGTTTGTCATTTCATCTAAAAAATTAAAATAAAAAAGAAAGAGAAAAAAAAAATCCAATCTTCAAATTTATTTTCTTTGTTTTCAATGATTCATCATGAATAAATCCTGGCAGATTTAGAAGGCACCAAGTAAGGTAAATGCAACAATTTCTCCATTGCTTTCTCTTTATACAAATAAAGTGTGTTTCTTACATTTTTTTTATCTAATTTGCAATTTTGTCAGTGAAGTAGATCAGATCTGAAAAGGATTGGATTTATTTCTCAAGCAAATTTCCTCTTGAAAAGCTTCGGATCTATTACTTCTATCTAGAAGTGGTAAGGTTGGAATATTCATTTAACCTTTTTTTCTCAATATTAAATAAACAACAAAAAAAGTTGGTTGCAGTGAAGTAGAAAGGCGGATAATTTTTTTTTTTTTGGGTTCTAGGGTCTTTTGATCTTGTGTTTTTGGAGCTTCTCTAGTTGTGATGGGAACCCGGAGGACAGGAGGGAGGAAACGGTGCCATTGGTGGTGATAAGTGGGTAAGGGTGGCGTTTCTAGTTTTTATGGCCTTGGGTTTTGTTTTAAATTTAGAAGTTTCTATCAGTTTTTAGGAAGACTTGATATGATACGAGGAAAGGGAGGATCAAGGAGAAGACTTGGGTGAGTTTTGGTAAGGAAAACGGTGCCGACGAGCGGCGTACGATAGTAGCAGAGAATGGTCCTACATCGGAGTTTGATGGCGGCGCTATTAAATGAAGTAGGGTAGTCAGAGAAGTTAGAAAATGAAACAAATTGATTTTTTTTATACGGACTTTTTTTTTTTAAATAAGTTCACGTAGGCATAACCATGTGGTAATTGGGCATAGGCCGTGTGTGAATAACAGTCTACAATTTTCTTTTTTACTTTAATGTTACAATTATCCAATCATAATAAAAAAAAATCAATCTAAATTTTTTTATTATAATCTTATAATTAATCAATTATCAAAAAAATTATATAAAGGTACATCATTTATAAGTGTGGATTTCACATTTTTTTGTAAACCCTATAAAAATATTGAATTTTAATTGGTTAATTGTTTTACAATAATTGGAGGTGGTATGTTTCCAATAAAAAATTATGTAAGTAAGGTTCACCAGTTATGTAAGTGTGTACTTCATATAAATTTTGATGTGCTTTATACAATTATATATTATAATTGGTTAATTGCCTACTATAATTATTGTTAGTGATATGATATATTCTTGTAGTATCTTCATCCAACATTTAACTCTAAATGGTATGATGATCAAAGAAGCAAATCTTTATAATGTTGGTGACTAAATCATTACTTTTTACAGTTTGGTGTCCAAAATAAAAAAATCAACTAAAATTGTTTGACCAAACAAGTAATTAATCGTTTTTAGACTGTTGCTTAACTGTTACAGTATGATACGATTTTTTTGGTTTTCTATCCTATTAACATAAATTTTTTTATTTCATGTTTTCTGAGTAATGTTTCGTTATAAATTATCTAAAAATATTGTTTTTTATTACGTGTTTTCAGCTTGGTAGAGTGCTGAAGAAAGGCATTTGGTTCTCATACTTTGAATTGTCTTCACCTTGCCTCGTTACGTACTTAAAAAGTGTTACTCGGCAGAAAACTGAAGAAAAAGCAGTTGGTTGTCACACTTTGGACTATCTTCACCTTGCTTGGTATGTTTAGAGAGTTCACCTTCATTATTCTTTAATTTTCTTTTTAGTATCTTCACCATGATTTATCTCATAGCCAATATTTTTATGTTTGGCAGAAGTTTCTTCAATTTGAGCTGTCAAGAATGGCTTGTGGGTTTTGCGAGAATGCTCTCTCTAACTGCGTGGGAACACTGCTCGTGGATTGGGTGGCGAAGCCAGTAGGACGTCAATTTAATTACATTCGCCATTTTCATGACAATGTTGAAAAGCTCAAAGAAAGAAAAGAAGAACTAATAATGGCACGGGCTCGGCTGCAACATGAGATTGAGTATGCTGAAAGGCGACTTCAAGGAATTGAAGATGATGTCAGATTTTTGCTATCAAAGGCGGACAAAATCCTATCAGATATGGAAACTCTAGAAAAGGAATTGCAGCAAAACAAGAGATGTTTCAATTGGTGTCCTAATTGGAGTTGGCGGTATAGATTAAGAAGAAAGCAATAAAGAACACTCTTGTTATTTGTGAGCTTATAGAGAAGATTAACAAATTTGGTCAACCTGGACGAGTGGGCTACCGTTCACGTAGTACAAATCCGACCATAGAATTTCTCTCATCTAAGGATTTTATGGTTTTTGAATCTTCAAAAAAAGGTTTCGATCAGATAATTGAAGCCTTACAGGATGACAAGGTCAGCATGATTGGATTGTGGGGGATGCCAGGGGTGGGCAAGACAACCCTTGTCCGAGAAGTTGGAATTCATGCCAAAAAATTAAATCTGTTTGACAGAGTTGCGATTGCTACTGTGTCTCAAAAGCCAAACTTTGAAACAATTCAAGATGAAATTGCAAAAGACTTGGATTTCGATATGAAGAATGCCCAAGGAAGAAGATCAATCCAAGAGTTCTGGTCGAAACTGCGGGAACTACAGAAGGATAAAAGGATTCTAATAATCCTTGATGATGTTTGGGCAAAAATTGACTTGAAGGAGAAGATAGGAATTCCATTTGCCGAGGATCATAAAGGCTGCAAAATTCTTTTAACAAACTCGCCGTCAACATGTATGTGATGCTATGGAATGTCAAAGGACAATACCACTTGGTTGTTTAGAAGACAATGAAGCTCGGGCTTTATTTAACGCCAAAGCTGGTTTAAACGACTCTTCTGGTGCTTCTATTAAGGATGTGGCAACTAAAGTTATCAAAAAATGTAAAGGTCTGCCCATAGCTATAGTTACACTGGCAAGTGCTCTGAAAGGTAAAAATCGTCATGGCTGGGAAGCAGCAAATCGGAGACTCGAAACCGTTAAATTGCTTGACATAGAAGACATTGATCAACAAAATGCTTACCTATGTTTGAGGTAAGTTTTGATTATCTGAAGAATAAGGAGACCAAGATGTGTTTCTTGTTATGCTCTTTATTTCCTGAAGATTATGAGATTTATGTAGAGGAGCTGGTGAGATATGCATGGGGACTAGAGTTGTATAAAGGTATGGGCTCGATTGAAGCAGTGAGGAGCGAAGTGCTTGCTGCGATGGACATCCTCAGGAATTCTTGTTTGTTGTTAAATTGTGGAGAAAGGCATGTTAAAATGCATGACTTGGTTCGTGACTTTGCTTTGTGGATAGCATCAAACAGAACGGAGTTTTCTTTTATGATAAAATCTGAGGTTGTTGAATTGTGGCCAAAGGATGAAAGTTTTGAGCCTTACAAAGCAGTCTCCTTCAAGACTAGTCGGATTGTTGAACTTCCTAAAGGACTGCTATGCCCAAATCTCAAAATTCTTGTACTTGGTGGAGATAAGAAGATGACAACTTCAAGTGAATTCTTTGAAGGAATGACAGCATTAAAAGTTTGCGCTTTGAATTCTAGATTGATATCTCCGGATGCATTTCAGTTTCAAACAAACCTTACAACTCTACATTTGGAAAGTTGCAAACTCTTGGACATCTCAGTGCTTGGGCAGTTGAAGAAACTTGAAGTTCTTTCATTTAGTTGCTCTGATATCAAAGAATTGCCAGAAGAAATAGGTGATTTGGATAATCTTAAATTGTTGGATTTATCATATTGTGAAGAACTGCAGAGAATCCCTTCTCAGTTAATACGAAGATTGTCCAAATTAGAAGAACTATACCTGCATGGTTGTCAATTATTAAAATGGGCCACTGAGAGCACTGTTCGAGAAGAAAGATTTGCCAGTCTATCAGAGTTGAATTCCTTCTCAAACTTGATTGTATTATCTTTAGAGGTTTCTTCTGAAGATATTCCAAGAGACTTTGTGTTTTGTAAATTACAAAGGTTTTATGTTTGCGTTGGCTTTGACTTTTCTGATTTTTATGGATTGAAGATGGACTCTGAGATCTGCCCATTCTCGAGATCTTTAAAGATTGGGGGGTCTATAATAGAGGCATGCAAGCAGTTATTTAAGGATACAGAATCTCTTAATCTGAAAGATATGGTGGGTTACCCAAATCTTGTTCCAAGCTTGGAGTCGGGCCAAGTGGTATTCAGTAAGCTGACTTCTCTGGGTATTGAGAGTTGCGAGCATATGAAATGTCTCATTGATACTACAAAGCAGCAGGTGCTAACCAATGCAATTCCAATTCTACAAAGTCTTGAAAGGTTGGAAGTTAAATCTTGTGATGAGATGCAAGTGCTATTTCAGATTGCTGAATTGAGGAGCATACAACAAGGACCCCGTCGTCATGTAAGCTTACAAAGTTTGAAGGTTGTAACAATACACAACTGCAACAAATTGAGACATCTCTTCCCAACGTATGTTGCTGACAGTCTTGGACAACTGGAAGCACTGAACATATCCTCATGCTTGGAATTGGAAGAAATAATTCCCAAAACGGAAGTGTCAAACATCAATCTCCAAAGTCTAAGGGAAGTACATGTAAGTGGCTGTAGTAACTTGACATCTCTTTCCTCATTGTCGCATTGTCAAAGTTTGGAGAAATTGACAACACTTTTAAATAGAGAGTGGAAAGAAAAAAAAAATCGATCAAAATTTAATCCTTTTAAATTGGGAGAAAAACATTCTTTTATACTTAATAAAACCTTTTTTTTAAATAATTTTTATTCTAATCCTTTTTCTTTTTTCTTTTGTTTTTTTGTTTATCTTTGGTACCAAACAATAAAAAGAAAATTAATTCTCTTTTCTATCATTTATTTTTGCTTTCCTCACCCTTTTTCCCTCTCTTTATTTTTCTTCCAACCATTAAACATAGTGTTAATGTTGTCGACAGAATTTTTTTTCTTGATAAACTAGTGTTCGAAAAGTTCAAGTCTAAGAGCTATAATATTTAAAAGATAGACTTTGTATCACTTTGTGTAAAACTAACGTAAATCTATTTCTTCACTACTTAAACAATGATCATTTAAAGATCAGTTGTGGAATTTTAAGATAACTTTTTTTATTTTACTTTCCTCTATAAGTTTTGTGCAATATTATTTTACTTTCATCTGCGATATTATAAAACTCAATTTTTTTTCATGTACGATTTTTTAAAATGTTTTAAGTTCATCTATTATTCCAATCTTGTTAAAAATTTAATAGAATGAAACCTTTTAAAATATTTTAAATTCATTTATTATTCCAATCATTGTTAAAAATTTAATGGATGTGCATATGACGTGATTTTTAACTTAAAAAGTCAAAGAACACCATCTTACCACATGCACGACATGGACATACATACACATGATTTGGAGATGATATAGTTTGTCAAATTTTAATCACTGTTTATGGAATTTATGATGAGATAAAAGTGCTATTTCAGATTGCTGAATCGACGAGCATACAACAAGGACCCAGTTATCATGTAAGCTTACAAAGTTTGAAGGTTGTAATGATATACAACTGCGATAAATTGAGATATCTCTTCCCAACGTCTGTTGCTGAAAGTCTTGGGCAACTGGAAGTGCTGGACATATCCGAATGCTTGGAATTGGAAGAAATAATTCCCAAAACGGAAGTGTCAAACATTAATCTCCAAAGTCTAAGGGAAGTACAAGTAAGTGGCTGCAGTAAGTTGACATCTCTTTCCTCATTGTCACATGGTCAAATTTTGGAGAATTTGAGAACACTTCACATTTGGAATTGCTCTCGATTGGAATATACTTTTCCAATCTCAATGGCTGAAGGTCTTCCGCAGCTGAATGAGGTTAGATTGCAAAGATTGCCTGAATTAAAAGGAAGGGATGGGAATGACATTGTACTCACGCTGCCATCTTTACAAGATTTGTGTGTGGATGATTGTCCACAATTGACTCCTTTTATCATTTCGGCTAAAATACAGGTAATCCTATTTATTTATGGTTTTACACTTTCAACTATACTTTGTAGGAGGAATATAAAGAATGGAAGAATAGATAAGAGAGCTGAAAGAAAAAAAATGGAAACTTAATCCATTTAAATTGGAAGAGAAAATTCTTTTTTTCTTAAATAAAATCTTTTTTATAATTTTTTATCTTTGGAAACAAACACTTAGAAAGTAAAATAATTCGACTACATAGTGTTAATGTCGTTGACTAAATTTATTTTCCTGATAAGTTGGTGACTAAAAAGTTTTCAAGTGCTACAATATTTAAAAGATAGACTTTGTATTACTTTGGGTAAAATTAATGTGAATCTACTTCTCCCTACTTAAGTAGTGATAATTAAAATCCCAATTGTGGACTTTTAAGATAGCTGTCATTATTAAAATGTATCAGGCATTGATAAGCTTTGTGCAATATTATTTTACTTTCATCCACAATCTTATAAAACTCAATTTTTTCATTTACACCTTTTAAAATATTTTAAATTCATCTATTACAACAATCATTATTAAAAAATTAACAGAACAAATCTTTTTTAATGTCACATGAATGTGCATATGACAAGAATTTCAACTTAAAAAGTTAAAAAAACTCCCACCTTTTCATCACATGCATGTTTACATGGTTATACACATACACACAATATTTTGAGACGACAAATTTAGTCAAATTTTAATGATTAATTGTTGAAATTGATGAATTTGAAATATTTTAAAAAAACTTGTGAATGAAAATTTTGAATTTTAATTAAAACCATGAATGAAAATGAAATATTGTACAAAAGTCATAGATGTATGGTGTAATTTACTTTAATTTTCATCGACATTTTCTTTGCTAGTTGTCTTTTTCTTTATATTTGAAGTAGGAATTGTCCATTCCAAATATGTTATTACTTTGTGTTTTCAATTTTTAGGAATTTACTATAATTAGTTTCTTGAGTTGTTTATATCTATCTCATTTAGTTATTTTAATGTTTTAGGAGATTGAGTTTTTAGGAAATATGTAGCTAGGAGATTTCATTTTAAGTTCAATTAATTATTGCATAAAATGCTAAATAGTCATTTCTTCTCGTAAAAAAAGCCTTAAATAATTAATATCACAAATTGGTTATTTCTTCTCATAAAAACATAATGTTCGTACTATTTAGCATTATTTATCTACTTTTTTAATATAAAATTAGTTTTGATTTTACTAATTACGATTGCAAGTATATAATTTTTTATGAAAATATTAATAAAAAAATTATAATTATGTTTAAATGTTTCACTTAAAAAGTAAATAAATTATATATAAGATAAATTTAACATGAAATTAAATTAAATTCATAAATAATAAGATTTAAATTTAAAACATCAAATTTTTGAAAAAAAATTTTACCACTAAATCAATGTTTTATTATTTAAATCAATAAAAAATAATTTAATAAATAATTATTAAATTGCATTTGTACTAATGAAATGCATTGAAAAAATGCATTTCATATCTTAATGATGATTTTCTGTCTGATTAACCCACTTATCTTAATGCATTATTTTTCAAGTCACTCAAATGAAATATCCAAAAAGATCTGCGAGATTTTCTAAGTATTCCCTATTGGATTCCGGTTTTCTAAGAATTTCCTATTGCTGGTGTCATAACGTCTAGATCCGGGGATCTATCGCTAGACATTGACTTTAGGGAGTCGCCACCAATCTTTTTTATCTAGGTGCGATTGGCCACCTAAAGAATCTGTCCTTTCAGGGAACACCTAAGCTTGAGGGTCCCTAAAAGAATAGGTTCAGGTCTGCTAACCAGAACAAAGTTCGGGAGTTCGGTTACGTGTGAGGAAGGTTGTAGCACCCTCACAACGCCCATCAAAAGATGGTACCAGCTTAAATTTGTGTTATCCAAAAGCCTTAAAATTTTACCAAGTAATTAGTTGTTGGAAATTATTCTCAATTGACTCTAATACTTTTAGCAGAAAATTGAGAAAATTCCCTCACCTCAGGAGTATGCAAGAAAAACTACTGTTTCACTTGCAGGGGCTCCGTCGTCGGATTTATTAAAGAAAAAACAAAATCATCCAATTAATTATTGGAAATTATTCTCAATTAACTCTAATACTTTTAGCAGAAAATTGAGAAAATTCCCTCACCTCAAGAGTATGCAAGAAAAACTACTGTTTCACTTGCAGAGGCTCCGTCGTCGGATTTATTAAAAAAAATACAAAATCATCCAATTAATTATTGGAAATTATTCTCAATTGACTCTAATACTTTTAGCAGAAAATTGAGAAAATTCCCTCACCTCAAGAGTATGCAAGAAAAACTACTGTTTCACTTGTAGAGGCTCCGTCGTCGGATTAATTAAAGAAAAAAGAAAAAAAAAATCAAGATCAAAATCAAAGTCAAATAAAAAAAAATTCAAAAAAATTCAAAAAAAAAAAAAAAAAAAAAAAAACCTGGAGCGGCTCGGGTTGCGGCTCGGCTCGGCTCGGCTCAAGGAAGAGAAAACGGCTCGGAGAAGCGGCTCGGGAAGAACGGCTCGGCTCGGAGGGGGGCTGGGCACGCGCGGGTCAGAATCGGGTCGACGCTCGGGTCGGGTCGGGTTCGGCAAAACGCGCGGATCCTCTGATTAACTTAAAGCCAAAACGACGTCGTTTTGGGAGGGTATAAAAGGCACCTTCCTCCGTTTTTCGGCAGAACGCTCCTCCCCCCTCTCTCTCTTCCTTCCCTTTTCTCTCCCTTCTCTCTAGAAAACCGAAGAACACCGGTGCCGGATTCTGGAAATGTCGCCGGAATCTGGAAATTTTGCCGGAATATGGCCGGAATCTTCGCCGGTTTCTGGGAAATTCGCCGGAAACTGGGTTGGTCACCGGAATCTTCAAGTTTCGCCGGAATTTGTGCCGGAAAATTCAAATGTCGCCGGAATTTTCGTCGGAATCTGGAAATTTCCCAGAAATTTCCAGAAAAAATTTTCGCAAAAAATTTCTAAAAAATTTTTTTCAGATCCCTACAGCTATCCTAACACTTCTCGACCTTCTTTAGCCTTCGAAAACTCTTCTAAACACTTTTTTTCTCTCAAATTCAGTAGCTTTGCTCACTGTTTTCTGTGTGTTCTTGACTGTTCCAGGAGGTGCTTTATATAGGGATTGATCAGGAGTTTCTGATCAATCCCAATTCCTCCTTGGACGGGAATTCAGTCTTTGAATCCAATTGGACTCTCTTGATTGAATTCCCATTCCCGGTAGGATTCTTCAGCTTCAATCTTAGCCCTCCAAAATCAAAAATAAAAAAAAAACTAGATAATAATCAGATAAATCAAAAGATATAAAAAAAATCTGATAATCAGGAAAAATCAGAACAGATAATTAAAAATAATAATAATAATAATAATAATAATAAAATAAGATAAACCCAAGTATATATTAAAAATAATAATAATAATAATAATAATAATAAATATATAACTATATACATATAAATCTAATCTAATAAAAAAATAAATAAATATATACATAATAATAATAATAATAAAATACATAAAATACAAAAGAAAAAAAAAATATACAGGATTGAAATGGGCCTTACCCATTTGGGTCAGGCCCAATTGATCTGGGCCCGGACCCAATTGGGTGTCTACAGCTGCCCCTCTTTGCACATTTTCTGTGAAACAGAAATTGCGCAAAGACGTAGACACCCAATCAAGACTCAACTCAACATTTTTATTTTTGATTTTTTTTAATTTTTGTTTTTTTTTTTTTTGATTTTTTTGATTTTTTTGTTTTTATTTTTTTTTGTTTTTTATTTTTTTTTTGGCCGAAGCTCCTCTAAACAGAGACTCAACGACTTTTGAAAGTAAATTGCTCCTCTAAACAGAGGCAACGGACTTTGGAAAGTAAATTGCTCCTCTCAACAGAGGCACCACGACTTTGGAAAAATAAATTGCTCCTCTCAACAGAGGCACCACGACTTTGAAAAGTAAATTGCTCCTCTAAACAGAGGCACCACGACTTTAAAAAAATAAATTGTTCCTCTAAACAGAGGCAACGAACTTTGAAAAAATAAATTGCTCCTCTAAACAGAGGCACCACGACTTTTAAAAAAATAAATTGCTCCTCTAAACAGAGGCAACGAACTTGGAAAAGTAAATTGCTCCTCTAAACAGAGGCGACTTTGGAAAAATAAATTGCTCTAAACAGAGGCACCGACGACTTTGAAAAGTAAATTGCTCCTCTAAACAGAGGCACGACTTTGGAAAATAAATTGCTCCTCTAAACAGAGGCACCACGACTTTTGAAAAGTAAATTGCTCCTCTAAACAGAGGCAACACGACTTTGAAAAATAAATTGCTCCTCTAAACAGAGGCAACGAACTTTTGAAAAATAAATTGCTCCTCTAAACAGAGGCAGAGAACTTTGAAAAGTAAATTGCTCCTCTAAACAGAGGCAACGGAACTTTGAAAAATAAATTGCTCCTCTAAATAGAGGCAACGAACTTTGAAAAAATAAATTGCTCCTCTAAACAGAGGCAACGAACTTTGGAAAGTAAATATTCCTAGACAATCATGTCCGAAGGAGTTGAAAGTTGTGTTTGAAGGGATTTCAGGAGATTATGCCCAAAGGTCTTATAAATCAACCCTGATACCAAGAGACAATCTATTTCAAGGATTAGGAACTTACCTGACAAGTTTCTTCTCAAACTTGCAAAGTCTTTTCATATCTGTCTTTTTCATGTGGGATGTTGGAACACCCTTGCTTCTTGAATTTGTACACTATATCTCCTGAAAGTAGGTATTGCTATGTGCAAATTGCATATGAATTTCAGATGCATGTTATGCAAATGTTGGCCAATTAATTCCTGTTCAATGTATGGTACTCAAGTTTCTCAAGCTCTTTTTTTTTTTTTTTTTTTTTTTAAGCCCTTTGATTCCTCAAGGATCCAATTGCACTGCTCTTCTAAGATCGAACCAGTGTAGCTCTCAATTGTCTCTTCCACTC